AAGCACATCAGTTCTTTCATTTGTTTTTCAATCTCTCAATAGCTGAAACCACCTTACCGCTCTGATCTCCTGCAAACATATGAACCTGTTTGCTCAAATCAAAGTGTAAATCTTTCTCTGTAGCCGCCGTGGAATCAGCTGCGATCATGTCAGACTGGCATCATCACTCTGCGAGTTTAAAAGGTTACTCAAAACACACCTTTTTGTAAAATCATTTAGTTAATTTTGTCTTTATATTTCTTGTAGGATGTATTTCAAACTTCTTTGTTTTAACTTGCTTTATTATTTTTTATTAAAAGAACAAAATCCTAATATTAGGTCTATGAGATGAAATGACCAGATTAAAGTCGAACCAGAATAAAGTTGTAAAATAATTAAGTCACAGTTGTAGTTTATCCAGAATAATGTCGTAATGTGAAGAAGTAGAATACTTTATTATAAACTGTTGGAGAAAGCTCAGACTTCCCCCAGATTTAAAATACTCTGCTCAGGCTGCAGTTTGCTGGATTTTAGGTATTGAGGTACTTTAGGTATTCAGGCTTTCGGAGATATTTTAGGTATATCTATCAAGGTTTTTATTTTATTATAACAACTTTTTTGTCTCATAAAATTATGAATTTGACATAATTAAAATTTTATTCTCATAACAGTATAATCTTATAATAGAAAACTGCTGTTATGACCGTTATAGTCCATCATACGTATTGAACCCTGGTTGTTTTTAAGTGCTTTACAAATAAAGGAATGTATAGTTAAAGCAGCAGTTTGTAATAATTACAAATATTTACTGACAGAACTGTAATATATTATCAATATAAATGTTATTTATTATCATCTATGAACTGAAAGTCTCAATCTTTATGTTTGCCTTACATAAGAAATTTCTGTTTATAATTACACATTTATGGAGGCAGACATCTTGGTGCTACAGCAGCTCAGAGCTGACAAACTAGTGACTGTAGAGATCGACATTACAATATGACTGCAGCAAGTTAGGCCTAAATAAACTCTATATCCACACAGACTAATAAAATAATATGTAAAAAAATTATCTATATAAACAAGGGTCATCAAGTAGACACTAAAAATAGAACCCTTTAAAATAGATTTCCTTTCAACCTCTCTCTTTATTGCCTCCTGGTGTCTGGGTGGGAAACAAACCCAAACTGTGAGATAAAAACAAAACATTTCCGTCCGGAGCTTCATAAACACTAAAGGTTAACCCTGTTGAATAATATAATTTAACTTTATGATCTCAGATTGGATAAATTTACCTCTGCATTTAACCCATGCTGGAAAAAAAATCAAAATCTAGATAAGTAATTTTTTCTTAAAATAAGTGCATTTGTTCTTGGATTGAGGAGGTAAAAGATACATTTTGCCAATGGAACAAGACAATTTACATTTAAAATAAGAAAACACAATTTCATTGTCTTATTTCAAGTGAATTTTATCTAATTATCTTATTTTAAGAGTAGAAATACTCATTCCATTAGCAAATCATCTCATTTACCTACTCAAATTAAGGCTAAATACACTTAGTTTAAGAAATTGTTACTTATTTCTAGATTGTTTTTCCAGTGCATCCCCTTGGAGAGAACCAAGATACCGAGCACTCAGGATACCAAGCACTATGCCCTAATCACTAGCCCAATACTCCCCAATTATGATCTTTGATTTTATATTTGATTAATTAAACAGGTTATCTAAAGCTGTTTTCTCTAATTATTTAATATCCAAAGTCACTGTCTTTGCCTTCAGCTGTGAAACCAACATTTCCTACCTGCCCGAAACTTTGGTAGACGACTCCGAACTTAAAGGTGCTGTTCACTTCGTGTTCATCATAGTTCACAATCAGCTGAGACGCCTGGAGACAGGAAAGGACAGCAGTCAGTTTAACGGGGCCCCGGCTGTGTTCAGGGGGAGGAACCTGATGAGCTCACCTTGGGGTAGAGGACGGGGCTGAACCGCAGGGAGGCTGCTTCATCACACAGGAGCTTCAGGAAAAACAACACAGGGGGTCAAACTACTGAAGCTCTTAGGTATCTAAAATTCATTTTAAATGATGGATTTCATACTTTTTAGCATAATGAATACTCAGAAATGTTTTAAATATGGACGAAAAATTAGCTTCAACAAAACCTTGATACAAAAATATCCCACCATCTATAATCCTGTCATTATATCAGTCTACTAACCAGTTTAAACTAACTTGACCTCCAAATGGTTCTGTTTTGCTTTTTTCACGTCCCTAAAATAATCAAATGACATCTTATTACATCACACTTTCATTTCATGTTAGTTTTATATGCAAAATGTAAATTTCTAGAGAGCGTTTAAAGATTGGGATTGTGTTCTCTTACAGATCTTTTCCCCACAGTTTATTGAACAGATGAAATGGGGAACAGATTGGAGAAGAACAGGAAGCTGGTTGGAGCTGCTTCGGCGTACCTTGGCTAGATCCGGCACACTGGGGATGTCCGGCAGCTCTGCCAGCGATAGTCGGTGGTAGAGGCTTTTCAGACGAGACCTGAAAGAAAAACAAAGATCAACCTGCTGCCAAAGACCTGGAGCTGCACTACGACCACTAGAAGTCAGAAAAAAAGAGTCCAAGAGCACTGAAAGGAACTTCAATTGCAAAGATGTGTCTCTGATGAAAAGGGATGTCTATAAATAGAAAATAAAGCCAAAATATTTTCTGAAAGGGGCCTTGAGCTCTTCCTGAAACTGGACTCCTGACTCCAACCATCTTGGACCAGAAGGCTGACCTGTTTGACCATGCTTACCTGATGATGACATGGAGGTATTCATGTTCCTTCTCCTCTTCGTGTCTCACAGACAGCAGCAGGTTTCCCAGACTGCTGGCTGAACAGAAGAAGTTCAGATGTTCCTGAAAAGCAGGGAGGTGTTAGATCCAAACCTGGAAGCTGGACTCTGAGAAGAACTGCAGTCTTTTAATCGAGGATTAGGAAAATTAAAATGAAATAAGAATGTAAATGAAACCTATATTTTTGTTATATTCAGCATCCTAACTGGATCTCTATCCTCACCCTGCCCAGGAAGTGCTTCCTGTACGCTCGTGCAGCCTCATTGATCTCCTCCAGCTGGTACCCATAATCCCCTGGGGCAGCACTGTCTTCCTCCTTCCTCTGCACCCCTGCTCCTCCTCCTCCCTCTTCTACCTCATCGCCACTGACCTCCTGGGAGGTTGAAGGAGGCACAGCAGGAGGTGAAGCTTCAGGATCTTCAATCCAATAACCTCCAAACTGCGGCAGGATGACCTGAGGGTACGGTGCCCCCCTCTCCAACACCTGCAGAGCAGACATGTCCCCATGTAACCTAAAGGATTTTAAAATACTCCAGCAGACCTTCTTGACACCTGATGGAGTCATATATACATTATAAATATGACAACATGAAGAAGAAATTATCATCTCTTGATTTGGACCTATGACCACCTTCTGTCCACCTGTTGCTCATGACTCTCCTGCAGCCTCACAGCATGAACCAGGCCTGGAAGTTTACTGATCAAGTGGCCTCATGTGGTCAGATCGTTATTGGCTAAATTAATCAGAAGGTAGGTAGAGCTGTCTGTTCCACTTTCAGTTTAATGCATCTAGCATGCTGCTGTGAGCGAACCATCATCAGCGCAGACAGAGCTTCTGCGTAATGTAGCCTTAGTCTCACTTTCAGTGTTTGCAAAAGGGTTCAAAAACAGTTCACTGGCCTGGCAGATGGAATCAGATTAGTTTTGGTGCAAAAATAATGATTAGTTTATATAGTTTTGATTATTTCTTTTTTTGCATGTTTTTCACATTTTCTCTCCAAAATTCTGAGGCACTCACAACAGTTTAAAAACTGCTGGTACAAATAACATGACTTTTGTCCAAACTCTCCTCCATGGTTTTCTGACCAGGGTTTGTTACTTTAGCTGAGTCAGATAAAGAGTAATTATCTGCTAGTGGGTAATTTTTATTGTTTGTTTTGAACCTGGAAAGCCAACAACGCGCAACTACACTAAAAGAAAATAAAATTCTAGATCTTTTTTCTAGTCTTTTTTTTTCTTAAAATAAGTGCATTTGTTCTTGGATTGAGGAGGTAAAAGATAGATTTTGCCAATGGAACAAGACAATTTGCACTTAAAATTAGAAAAGACAATTTCATTGTTTTATTTCAAGTGCATATTATCTAATTATCTTATTTTAGTGGTAAAAATACTCATTGTATTGGCAAATCATCTAATTTATCTTCTCAAATTAAGGGTAAATACATTTAATGTAAGAAACTTTTACTTATTTTCAGATTGTTTTCCAGTGTAGAAGAATATCAGAAGTATCCTGAACATTCTAGAGGAGTCTCTGCATTATGGGTATGATATATGATGTCACTTCCTGTTTTGTTTGTTGCACCCTGTCGGTTACTCAGACATCCTACAACAATTCAAGGGATCACAAGCTAAACTAAGGAGACATGGGTCAACCTAGGCAGGCAGCTGGCTGGGAGTGGTTTTTCACTGCAAAAAATGATTATCGCAATAAGTTTTTTTCTTAAAATAAGTAATTTTTTTAAATTAAGGAGGCAAGTGAGCAGTGGTGTCAAAAGTACACACATTTGTTACTTAAGTAGAAGTATAGATACTGCAGTTTAAAAACACTCTGGTAAAAGTTGAAGCATCAACTTGACCTCTTTACTCAAGTAAAAGTGAAAAAGTATGTGCTCCAGAAACTACTTAAAGTATAAAAATATAAAGTAACCTTTAAGAAAAAGGCCAGATGCCACCATATGAATTAAAAGCTCAATTTTTCGTCTATTTCAAAAAATTCTTTGAGATAGGGCCAAGGATGAGGGAGGTCTTGTTGGTCTCCATCTCCCGATACGCTCTAGCCTGTGTCCGACCTTTCAGACATTTAGACATGTTTTTCTGAATCCGACATTGTAGCATGGCATAGACAATTCATGTTTACAGTTTGAAGAACAACTGCTTGCTTCTGATAATTTCCTTTAGCTAACCAATGAGTGTTTGCATTATACGACTCATCCAATTACACTAGTTTTCACTAGATGTGGATGGAGCCAATGATCTGCACTGGATGGAGCACATGACATGAAATATATATTTAGAAACATTAAACCAGGGGTAACTAATAAAAAATCAGTGGGGTCCGAATAAAGAAAATCAACCAGTAAATGTCAGGAGACATTTTTAATGATCTGTTACTTTAAACAGAATTTAACACACAAATAAAATGACGTATTTATGCATTCATGTTAAAAAAAAGATGAAAAAATAAAAATAGAAATTGCCAAATATTGCATCCTGTTCTATCTGAGAGGAGTTTACACTTGTATGACTGTATTCCTGTCCATCACTAGTTAAAAGACAAGATTCAGCAAATGCAAATTCTGCCCTGTAAAACAATGACAGCACAATTGTCGCTGTACGATCCGAAGCCTCATTTGGAGCTTTTAAACAGGCTTTTGAAAAACTTTGATAATTTGCTGCTGTCATATTATAGATTTTTTGGAATAAAAAGCTAGCAGATGTGCATAATCAAAAAATAACAGAAACACAATTATAGAGCATTCAGTATTGTAAGAAAGCCCACACTGTTTCTGAATAAATACATTATTGTATGAGTTACGTTCCGTTTTTGTCTCTTTCCTTGTAAGTATGAAATGTCCCATGCTCCTGAATGCACCATAGCTGTCTGACGCTCGCGAATGCATCACACTGGTCTGTGTAGATGCGCGTTTGATTTTCAGTTGAAAACAAAGCTTTGCAGTTTTAAAACCCACGTCGGCTAATCCTGTTTATTGTTGTGTGTGAATAACAAGAGACTACAACAAATAAATCAGCTTTACCTAGGACAAAATCTTTGGATTTAATGTTGTTCATAACATCGCAGTCCGCTAATCCGTGACCTGTGCCAAAAAGCCAAAAGTAACGAGTAACGTTTGTCTTAAAAATGTAAGGAATAGAAAGTAAAGATACTTGTGTCAAAATGTAATAAGTAGAAGTCAAAAGTAGGAGGAAAAATAAGTAATGGAGTAAAGTATAGATACCTAAAAAGTGTACTTAAGTACGGTAACAAAGTATTTGTACTTCGTTACTTGACACCGTGGCAAGTGAGACACTTTGCCAATTCGGGTGCATAATATCTAATTATCTTATTTTAAGAGTAAAAATACAAATTCCATTAGCAAATCATCTTATTTACCCGCTCAAATTAAGAGTAAATAATCTTAATTTAAGACATTTCTACTTATTTTAGATAATTCTCCTTCTCTCCATTCTGATGTGGACAGCACACTGGAAAAACCACCTAGAAATAAGTAAAAATTTCTTAAATGTTTCTTAAGTGTCTTTACCCCTAATTTGAGTAGGTAAATGAGATATTTTGCCAATGGAATTAGCATCTCTAGTCTTAAAATAAGATCATGTATAATATAGAAATAACACAATGCAATTGTGTTTTCTTATTTTAAAGGTAAATTGTCTTGTTCCATTGGGAAAATGTCTTTTATCTCCTCAATCCAAGAACAAATGCACTTATTTTAAGGAAAAATTACTTTTTTGACTAGATTTCGATTTTTTTCCAGTTTAGCAGTAAAGTGTTGTGTTGCTGCATGTTGTGAAGGTGGCGACTGATACATAACTGCAGCCAATCGACAGCCAATCTTAGAACAGAGACAGTAAACAGGACATCAGCGGGATATTTTTTTAGAATAGTCAAACTTTCCCTGCATCCAAATAAATCCAATTGCTGTTGCCACTCAGAGATCTTTTTCAAGAAACTTTCTCCTATGTGCTTTTATTTTAAACAATCAATGGAGGCTTTTCTTGTCAAATCTAGAACCACATATAGGGCATGATAACTGTCAATAAAGATGTATACATTGGTTTCAATAAAATGAACACATTTAGGACCTTGTATTTCTTCCTGTTAACTCATTCATAAACGTAACAGATGTTTCATCTGTAACAATGCAAGTTTAAAAGCTATAAACACAAGCAAAAAAGTTGCAATGCTGAAGCAATACAACAGTGCAAGTAAATAAAACTAATTTACACTCCCTACCAGTTGGTGTTAGTAATGCACTTGAAAGTTGTTCCACAAAATTCCATCAATAGTGTTTTGGTCTTGTTCTTCTTATTTAATAGGCTCTCCAGCATGGACCCACATAGAATGGTTTTATCAAATATGGGCCTTTTATCACAGCTGCACAAGGGCAATAAACCAAAGACATCTTCAGAACCGGCCAGTCTGCATCTGTTCAGAAAAACTTCAGGGAAAAGCCCCCAAGTGGAGGACTTTATACAAGCCTCCAATCAAAAACAAACTGGTGATCTCCAATGGAGGATTTTCCACGGCGCCATCGCCAGAAACGTTTTTATCGGTTCATTAATTGGAGTGTTTTAAACAGGTGTCCTTTTTGCCGTATGTCTGAAAATGTGTTCCACGTTTTTATGGAATGCACAAGACTAAAGACTATTTTTAGCCTTTTAATTAGTGTTTTTAGTCTCTTTGGGATGTTTTTTTTTTTTTTTTTTTTTTTAAATATGCTCTTTTTATAGGAGGAGTTTGCCAGAACAGAAAAAAATAAGCCAAAGGCCCAACTTAAATATTTTTGTTAATCAGTGAAGCAAAGATGGCC